CCCCCCCCCACACACACTCACATACACTCACTCACACTCACGCGCTCACTAGATCAAGAGAAACCCAGCTCCCTCCGCTTGCTTGAGCAAACGCTCGTGCCCCACAGCCCGTGCGCTGGTCATCCCATCAGCTCGCCAACTCGCTTGGTGGGGGGGCCTCCTCACTCACACCAAAATACGCGCTCACCTTTATACAACTGGAGCGTGTGAACCGACTCGGCTGTGGACAGTTAACTAATGTATTTTCTCTGATTGTTTGTCATGGAATTGAACAATTAAAGATATTTTTTACTGTTCATCATCATATTATAATCGTAATGTTTTAGAAAATGAATCCTTTTATTCGCATTCTGGATGGCTTATGAGAAAGAAGAAACCTGCCTATGGAAAAACAGGTAAGCTATTCAAACAGCTGATTTTGGATGTCTTAAAAATATTTTACACCACAAATATTTTTCTTCACTTAGACATTTTCAACAGGAGAGTGTCTTATTCTCATTTCGTATGTTATCTACTTTACTTAAATAATTTTTCGAAAGTTGAGAATTTCATCGAAGGAAATGAAATCAAATTAGGTAACAATAGTAAAGAAGCCCAAATTGGCTGGTCACTAATAAAACCATTAGGAAGAGAACAATTCTGCTTCTGGATTACCTGAATCGACATAAAAGCCTTGATCGTGTTTCTTCGTACTGGTAAAATTAAAGGCAATCGAGAGAGGGGAAAACCCAGCACAAAGTATCGTACTTTGAAAGCCTGAACAAAAGAGTAACAGGGTTTTAATATTAATAATATTATAGTCTTTTAGAGCATTTAAGCAAAGAAACGAAGGGTGAATCATGATCGCCCCGGTGTGTGTCGCAGATCTGGCACTTGTTCCTGATGAATATCCGGAATGCATTGTGTGACGTAAAACCCCACTTAGTGCTGGCGCTATGTACAAACGTGAGCAGAGCGATTGACCGCGGTTTCGCGTTTCCTTTCATCGCCTGTCATAACATCAGTGCCAGCCGTCCACTATCGCCGAGTCAGGTAGGGAACCCAAATCACACACACACACACACACACACACACACACACACACACACACACACACACACACACACACACACATATACAAACACACACACACACACACACACACGCACACACACACAAATTCATGTATATATATATATATATATATATATATATATATATATATATATATATATATATATATATATATATATATACATATATAATATATATATATTTATATATATGAATAAAGGGCACTGGAAAATGTTGAAGGAAGGCCAAAAAATGTAATTTTGCCTTTTTTCAAGCGATGGAAGTCACCAAACGTTGGCAACCATTTTATTTCATATCTTAACTCAGACACAATAAGGCAACTGCGGCCTCTTTCAATATCAGTTATATATCACGACCTAAGTTCAAAATAGATACAGATTTTAAGAAAAAAATCAGCAAAAAGTAAAAGATAACACCAATAATTCTATTGCTCAAACATTGACCAGGGGGCTCTTGTGGCCGAGAGGTTAAGGCGTTGGCCTTTCATTCAAAGGTCGCGGGTTCGAATCCGGGTAGCGACCGAAAAACGTTCTTCTCTAAAAATTGTCTCATTTCACCTCCTTTCCGGCTCTCTAGCAATATTCTGTCGTCTGCTTTCGTCTCCTCTTTCTGCCCCAACCCCCTCACCTCCTTTGCCCCCTCCTCTGGGCTCCTGACTCTTTCTGCAGTCTTTCTACTGCTACTCCTTGACTCCTTCTTACAGCTGTCTTTCTACCACACCCCTGATCTTCTGGTAGGAAAGATCTACACCTAGCCTTCTTGGACAAGGGCGAAAAATCTCGGAGGGCCCGTATGGAAGTTGCGCACGTTAAAGATCCCCTGGTCGTCTAAAATCGATAAGAGTAGGCTTCGGCCACCACCAGAGCAAAATTCAAAATTTCCTACCAACTAAAAGTATTAGGTGTGTCCCGCGCGCTCATAATATGACCTTATGCAGTTGCGAGCGAGGTAAAACCCTCTACTATTAAAAAAATAAAAACATTGACCAGGGCATGATTTCACCGGGTCGTGACACACATGTTTCTGTGAGAGTGACAGCTGTCAGTCTGGTCTCTGTGGTGGAGCGGTTAGGCACGTCGCCGCTACACGCAAAAAGCACGAGTTTATTTCTTTTTAGCAAGTGTTTTGCGGCGCTTGCAACACGAACAGGCCATATGAGTACCAGGACCTAACTTCAATCCCCGAGCGGGGAGCTGATACATTTTGTCGTGTATCTCGGACCTACTGTTGGGACTTAATATCCTCTTCAGCCTGTGTTGGTCCTGACAGGCAGGGTCAAAGCCCGCATTGTAAATCATCTGAATTGTATTGTCGCGATGCAGGGTATTAAAAGGCATTCTCAAAAAGGTCTCCCGCCCAAAAACAAACTAAAACAAAACAAACAAACAAAAATACCCCCCACCCAAAAAAAAGCCTCAACAACAACAAAAAAAACCCAACAAAACAAAAAACAAAAAGCAAACTCCGCAAATCCCCTAACAAAATCAGCAAAATAAAACCAATATGAAAGCCCAAAAACTGCTACCAGCAGCGTCTCAGACACCACAAAAGTGGACAACACGAGAAAGAACTACGCGTGAGAGCACGCAGAAGGAAAGCCAGGCTTCAGTTTGTCCTGGGGGCCTGTAGACGGCCGTCTCATAGTGAGCTTTCTGGCCAACGTTCTGTTGTCGCTTATCAAATATTCACTATACATGAACAGGCATGTCACTGGGCCAAGCTGGAACACTGACATGTATTGCTATTTTTGCACGTCCGTTCCACAATTCGCGACTTTAGAATTATAAAGTTCTATCTGACATTTTTGGCCGTTATGAGTTACTAAGACCATGAAGTCAGAAACCAATTTATTCTTCTATCTGCTTTATCAAAGTTGTAAGATTATTCGGAGTCGTTATCAATGTTTAAATAACTGCATTCAAAAAAGCTTGGCATGTTACAATTTTTAACGTCAAATTTCTCAAAACTAGGTACTGAGCAGATAGAACTTTGTAATTCTGAAATAGCCATTTGTGTAATTGTACCTGTTCCCTCCGATGCACGATTCCAGCGCGCTCACACGACCTAATACAGTTGCAAGGGCGTAAAACTCTAATCAAGCTGTCCGATTCTTTCTTTTGTCCGCTTTTCTTTACAAGCCTTGTGCGCTTTTTCACAGTGGTTCACTTGCCAAGATAACTTGTAATGCTTACCATCTTCTGAGACTTGGCTTTTTGCTCTTTGTCTTTGAACTCGGAACGTTTTCAGAGCTTGCACTGTTACAATATTTTCTTTGGTCGTAAACATTTGTAGAATAGAAATAAATGTAAAAAATATTCAAGCCAATATAAACCAAACCTGTTAATAATAATAATAATATTGTCATCTCTGAAAATATATTTTGCTGTTAGCCTACGTGTTTTTAATGTTTTTCCCTCCCCAATCGTGGTACTTTCATCAATTCAAATTTATTTCTCAAAAGCATACGTTGAATTCCGTCGAAATATCTCTCATTTTCCTGACACAAACCTGTTTGTTTGGAGTAATATGACCTAATTTTGTACGATACTGCTGATTTTTGTGGTTCCATTCCCCGAGGGTCTACTCTTGACCTTCTTTGGTTTTGAACTTTCGAGCTTAAACTAACTTAGTAGCAAGGTTAGGAATAAATGATGGTAACTAGAAAGAATCCACTTAGGGTTTTAGTTTTAGTAAGAGTGGGTTTTGGTCACTTTCCAATCAAACAGCATATCTAATTGTCGAAGATTAGAGGTGTTACAAGAGAGTGACTTACATGGAAAAGGAGAGACAATGACGACAGATGTTTGACGAAACAAATCGTATCACAGCATCCTTCAACCACCCATCAATAGAAGGCACAGCGGAAGAAACTTGAACATAATTATGAACTATAAAAAAGAAACATAGGAATCCTAACAACAAAACGGAAAAACATGGAACAAAATACATCGTTTTGCTTCCAAAACAATAATCAGAAGTGTACTAGAACTGGCACATTTTTCTACTGGTTTGAACAGTTAGTGTTGAAACAGGTTGAGGCAAAGGCAAATTTGAGACACATTTCAGTAGGAATAGATTGTATCAAAGATAATTGTGGAAAGAAGTAGAAAGATAAGTTAAAAATGCCACGGTTCTTTCCTATAATCCTCACCAAGCCACAAGTTTGATGTATTCTGTATTCTCTATTCTACAACACTCTTCCGCATTGTCTTAAACGGAATGTCTCCAGGAACGTAATGAGTTCATTTATATAATGGCATCGCTTTCTTTGTCTCTCCTACTTTCCTGTCCATTTTGAAATAATGGATGATTGGTTAGATAGCTTGGTATGACGCTGGGCTATGGTGATGGTCTCGAATCATGCGAAATAACCCTAACCTTAGCCCCTCCTTCCTCGCTTCGCTCTCCCTTAAAAATCTACAGTAAAAAAAAATGTTTAAAAAACTTTAAAGTACACAAAAACTGAAAAAATATATCATTCCAAAACAAACACAAAGAACAAAAACAAATTCAAAATCCCTATTATTTCAAAACGTGCCTTTGTATTTTTCTTTCTGTCGCAAAATCTTTGCTTTTTTGTCTCCGATAGCAGGAGAAGAGCGGGGGGTGGGGGGGGGTGGGGGAGGATGATTGGACATTACTTTTTACCATCCTCCCCCGTCCTCCCCCTCTTCCCAATGTACAATTTTCGGACTTCGTGCGTTTGTTTGGTAGTCCACAGTGTAGTAAAAGAGAAGCTACTTTCACTTCCATTGGTAATGTCAGGGAAATCCCATGTGTGCTCTCGTGGCCTAGAGGTTAAGGTGTTCGCCTCTCATTCAATGGGTCGAGGTTTCGAATCCGGATAGCGACGGTACATTTTCTTCTCTAACAATTTTCTTCTTTCACATCCTTCCCTGCCCTCTAACAATGTTCTGTCGTCTGCTTTCGTCTCCATTTTCAACCCCCTCCCCCTCACATGCTTTGCCCCCTCCTCTAGGCTCCTGACTCTTTCTCCAGTCTTTCTACTTATTATACTCCTTGGCTCCTTCTTACTGCTGCCTTTAAGCCACACACCCGATCTTCTCGCAGGAAAGATCTACACCAAGCCTTCTCGGACAAGGGAGAAAAAAGTCGGAGGTTCCGTGCATAAGTTGCGCACGTTAAAGATCCCTTGGTGGTCCAAAATCGATAACAGTAGGCTTCGGCCGCCACCCGGACAAAATTCAAAATTTCCTACTAACTGAAAATGTTTAATGTGTCCCGCGCCCTCATATGACCTTATGCAGTTGCGAGCGCTGTAAAACACTTGCCCCCCCCCCCCCCCCCCCCCGAAAAAAAG